TGTAGAAGTCTCATTGGTTCGTCTTGGATCCCTGTTTTTTAACAGATCCGCATAGACCCAGCTGTCCATCCCCTAAAGGGGTGCACGGTCACTCGGGGGTAGCTTCCCACTGGGAAGGGGTTGAAGATGTTGACACCGGGGTTCTCGGCATGGATGTGTTCCAAATGGCAAAAGGAATCATTCCTTAAAGTTTCATGCCAAAACTTCAACCCTTAGGTTCCAAAATGGCCGATATTCGAAAAGGGGTTGCACGTTCGTGGGGGTGGTTTGGCCGAGGTTTGTTCAATTCGAAAAAAAACAACAACACATGTTCCGTGTACAGAGGGTGTCCCCGGAGGATATCACGGTAGTTTTGACCATCCTCAAAACTCACCCCTTCATGGGGGTGAGGGTGAACAGGGCAGGGGGTGGGTTTGAACGACCGCGATTTCGTTAGCGCCGTTTGAAAGAGGACACAAATTTGAGTCGGTACACCAAAAATTTCGACTTTCCGATCATTTTAAGTGACAAATTCGGAACCTTTTAGGTCGAATTTTCTACCCCTCTTCACACTAGGGGCTGCACAGGCCGTAAGGGGTGGCGCAAGGGATGCGCACTTCGTGGGATCCAAGACGAACCAATGAGACGTCTACAGGCTGAATCTCGACATTCTACCTCAAAACACTTAGAAAATACGCCGGCTCAAAAAAAGGCGCCGCTAATTTCGAGCGGCAGTGTATATATAAGGTGTTAAGGCCCTCTGCCCACTTGGATGTGTTGTTGGTCATCTGCCACGCTGTCAGCATCTCCTGCACGTCTTGGTTTGCCCTCTCCACTCTTCCCTGAGATTGTGAGTGGCGAGGGCGAGGGCGCCCGTGCACTATCTTCAACTCTGGCCACAGCACCTTCAACTCTTCAATGACGCGGTTGCAAAACTCCCTCCCGTTGTCGCTTTGGAGGACTGTCGGGGCGCCGAATGTCAGAAAGATGGGCAGCAGGTAGGTGGCCACCTCCATCGCCGTCTTCGCCTTCAGGGGAACCTAGTGGACAAATTTTGTGAGGTGATCCTGCACATTCATAATCCACTTGAATTCCCCGTCAGGGTTTGACTGGTAGTCGATGAGGTCCACCTGACATCTGTCATTAAGTTGGTGGAAAATCAGGGGTTTCACGGTGATGCCGCGCCTCTTCGCCAGGCACGTGCC